GGGGGCTTCCGGCTCGTTTCCCAGGGCCTGTGTCCCTGTGCCGTGTCTCTGTGTCGGCTGCTGTCACTATGGGCTGGCCCCCTTCCAGGGGGTTGGGCCAGACCACCCCCAGAGCAGCCCAATGCTGGGACCCCTGTGCCACGGAGAGCCCCCTCGGGGGCCCTGGCATCCAACCAGCCCACTTCCCCATAGCTCCTGATCAGGGTGTGCTCTGCGCTGGGGGGAAAAAATCCCAGCTCATCCGAAATGGCTACCTGCCTCGTGACCCTTCTGCGCATCGCGGAGCTCCCTGGAGCAGCCCCTTGGAAAGCCAGGCCTGTGGCAGAGGCTGCTTGCAGCTGGCCCTGGGGCAGGGGACAGGTGGAGCTGGAGACAGTTAATCCAGCTGCAGTGTCCGTGGGGTGGCCCGGGGACGCCAGTCTGCTGAGGGGATGTGTCACTGCACAGACAGGCTGTCCTGGGCTTGTGCAGCCAGCTGTCATGCAGGATGGGAGGGCCCCTGCCTGGTCTCCCAGCTGGGTGATCTGATGCTTAGCGAAAAGGTGCCTTTCTGGACCATTTGTGGAATAAATGATGCGCGCAGGACCGTGCTCCCAGCCGCTTTTCAGAGCGGGTCTGCACGCCTCGCGGGACGGCTCGATGCAGTGGGTTGTGGAGCAACTGAACTGTTCGGTCGGGGCGATGTCTTGGTGCAGGCGGACCCCGGGGCTGCCGGGCCTCTCCTGCCCCTCGAGGAGCGGGTAGATCGGCTCGGGGGGGGGGGGAGCCGCCTGCGCTGCGATGTGTTTCCCAGCTACCTCGCAAACAGCCCCCCTGCCTCATACAGGTGGTGGGGAGCAGGCTCTGGGCAGCTGCGATTTGCTGTGTTTTCATACCTGTTGCTCAGGAAGTGGAACAGAGTCCTTGAATGCTCCTCTGCCACCCAGCACGTGCGGGAAGGAGCTCTGGGGGGGGCCTGGGACAAGGGCACTCGTGCTCCCCTGTCCTGCCAGGTAGCTCAGTACGCTGGGTGCAAAAATAAGTTTTACACCTGAGTGCTCTTCATTTGGCAGGCAGGCTTGCTCGCTTTCTGATGGGGAGATCTTTTTAAACCACATTGTTTGCACTGAGTAGCACGTGCTCTGTCTGAGAACTGACTGGATGTTATTGCCATCCCTGCAGGTTGAGGCTCTCGACAAGGCAGTCTTCCCCCGCAGCCATGGCGCCCACGCTTGCCACCGCTCATCGCCGGCGCTGGTGGATGGCATTCACAGCCATCATCGAGAACCTGCTCTTCTCTGCCGTCCTGCTGGGCTGGGGGTCGCTGCTCATCATGCTGAAAGCAGAAGGGTTTTACTCCTACCTGTGCCACGTGTCAGGTGAGGATGCTCGGAGGGGCTGGCTGGCTAGAGGCGCGTGAGAATAGGTTGCTGCTAGGGTTTGCCTGGGTGGTTCCCTGCCTTAGGTGGTTTGAAGGTGGCTGGAGCAGGGCTGAGCCCCAGGTCAGTCCTGGGCAGAGGGAAGGGATGTGTGCTCCTTGCCAAAACTGATGGCCTCCTTGAGGTGAAGTAACACACCTGTGGTTGCTGCTGCTTTGCAGAGTGAATATAAGAGGCCTTAAAGGTTAGGCAGAACCTTCCTGGACAGCCTTTTCTGCTTGGCAATGGGTTCCTCCTCTGTGTGGAGGCCTGGCTGGTCCCTGCAAGGGAAGGCAGATGCAGCCTGATGTTTTTTGGAAGATGGTGATTTGGGGGAAGGATGATGTAGCAGGGAGGGTGTCCTAAACATATGGGAGATACTACAGGGACCCTTCCTGTAGTAGGAAAGAAAAGAGCGTGGATGAAAACAGGATTGGTGAAGTCAGCTGTTGCTGTCTGGGAGAGGTTGGAGAAGCTAAAATACTACTGCAGTTTTGTTCCTCTCCTGCTTCAAACACCCAGGATGTGCCCGAACCAGGCTGCTTCTCCACCAGGCTTTCAGAGATCTGCCACCTTGCCCAGCCAGAGGAAGCAGTTGTCCATACTATCTCCTTCCCTGCAATGCTGTGTCTGCACTCTTGTAGTGTGGGGAGGATAACCCTGGGAATAACAGTGTGTGGGTGGACATAGATCCCTAGCCTGGACATTGAGAGAAATGTGGGCTTGGGATGCCCCAGTACAATATGATGGGCAGCAAGGTTAAAAGGGAACTCAGAGTAAAGGTGTGGCACGGACTTGGAAAGCTGCTTTGGTGATGGGAGGGTTTGCGTGTGCTGCCTGTTGAGAAGAGCTGTGATCTGGCAGAGGAGGGAATAGCAGAGCAAAGGGAGTCAAGAGCTGGGTGTCTGGTCTCTGTCCAGAGATGTGTGATAGTGGTTGAGATGGAAGGTGGATCAGCCCAGCTGGGGCTGGTGAGTGTGGGTAGGGATGGTGGAGGAAGCGGTGAAGGACAAAAAAGGAGGCTGAAGTAAGTACATGGACACCAGAGCAGCCAGTGGGTCATGGCTGATAACAGTTAGGAAGTCTGAAATGTGGAGAGACAAAGTCCAGGCAACAGCTGACTGAATAGTTGTGATGGTACTTTACTCTGCTTTTTCTGCTAAGCCAGCAGCAGTTTCTCATTTATCTACTGCTTGTTACAGTCCTTTCTTCTCTGTGTGCCTGTGGGTGGCTGCCTTAGTCTTGTAGAGCCAGGGTTGCTGCACTCAGCAAACATGCTTTTTCTTATTTTTTCTATCAGCTGTAGCCTGGCTGTTTAATCACCTTCTTATCTCTGCTCATAGTGCATTTCTTCCGATTGTCCATATCATGGATGTCTCCAGTGGTGCTCCAGATGCTGAATCTTCAGCTGGAGACCTTTTGGGACTTCTGGTCAAGGCTGCTCTGCTTTTGTCAAGCTGCAGCAACTTTGTCATGGGCCTGTGTGAGAGATCATTAAGTGTATCAGGTGGAGGCTTTCTGCCCCCAAGGTAAAACATATGAGAGCTGACAAGCAAGTGCTGACTGCTTCTGAAAAGCAGATGCTTTCCTACCTGCTTCCTGAGCTAGACCCTGTGGCTGAGAGCCCTGCTGCACTTTACCCAAAAGCCTTCCCCCCCCCATACTGTTTACCCTCATTCCTTTCAGTCCATGAAGCCTTTACCCAAAACTAGTGTGGTTTGTCTCAGCTTCCCGCCAGTGTTTGCCAATCTGTGGTCTGTCTGGATCTCCCTACGGGAGTGCCACATACCACAGAGGAAGATGTAAATGTTTGAACTGGGATGGAATTACTGCCCTGAGGGTGATTTTTTTTTTCTACAGTGACCAACCTGCATGCTGAGGCAGAAGACCTTAAACACTGAAAATAAATTCATCTTAAGTGCTTTTATTGTCCTCAAATATCTGGCTGTCAGCATTGAACTTGATGGCTTGTGATGAGCGGCAGGGACCAGTTATGCCGGTTCCCTCATTCACCCATGCTTGCTCACTTTCCTTTCTCTGTTTTTGTCCTCACAGTAGCAATCCCAGTGACTGGGTAGGGAAGAACCGTGGCTCAGTGTGGGGACAGCAGACTCCCTTGCAACTGGTGGTGGTGGGAGCCCACAATGACTTGGGTGGCTCTTGGTACTGAGCTGAATTTAGCCTTTCCCTGGGATTAGGATGGCCTGGAAATCTTTT